CTAAACTCCCAACCCACCCACTTTACTATTTTCTCTTCCTCCACTTTCTGTGAGAGCTAAAAAAATTGAATGCTTTTCCTCCCATCTTCTAACTTTCCCTAGGCTGGGCTAATAATTAAATTAACAGATTAATAGGAGAAAATCAAGTTTTAATATATGCATAGGGAGAATTCACATAGGCAAGAAATTCCAAAGATGGCGAGGCTCCATGGGGTATATAAGACATGTGGACAGAGGAGAAAAGGAGGAGAATGAGGTGTTAGATTTCAGAAGTGAGAATGGGCGATTTACAGGTGGTTGAGGGAGAGCTGAACACTCATGACAGGAGAAAAATGGACACAGCAGGTATCTGGTGACCAGGCCGCTGTCTGAAGACCTCTATTTACCACAGTTAATTCAGGCCAAGGCGACCTCCTAAGCTCTTCTTTCTCTGTCTGAATCTCTTGGGCAGGAAAGGGGGGTGGGTCAAAGGTTCCCTCTGAGTCTGGTTTCTTAATAAACAGCTTAAAACCAATATCCGGAAAAAAACAAAGCCAGCGTCAGGGTGGCGACTGGTTCCCTTCCTCTCCCTTTCCGAGTGGCATGCAGGCGTGCTGCCTGAGTCGTCCGAGGCTGCCTGAGTCGTCCGAGGCTGACGCTGGGAAGCCCTGGTGCTGAGCAAAACCAGGAAGGGTCCCTTCCCTTGCACATGGTTGGGGTGAGGCTGGGGAAGGTGGGCTTGCTGGTCTGCTGCACAGTCTAAGCTTGGCTGACAGTGGTTAGAGGCCAGGAAGCTAGGCCTCCTGGATGGAGGTGATACAGCCAAGGCAGGTCCCCTCCACCGCTCACCACTGACCCCCACAAACACACAGTGGCCTGCTTCCAGTTCAGCCAACCTCCTTGCTGCTGAAGTTCAGGAAGTTATCATTTCCTCTGCATCCCAAGTTCAAGTTCCTGACCAATTCATTCATTTGTGTGTGTGTTTTCCCCCCATAAAGTCAATGACTGAGCACTTATATGCGTGGACAGTATTCAGATGCATGTACGTATAGGCTAGAACCTCTTGGGGGGGGGGGGATGCAGAAAAGAGTAAAATAAAGTTCCTTTTGTCAAAGGATTGCTATGCATCTTGATGGCAACGTCTTGCATGTTTCCTTCCTACCCTGTGAGAGCCACCTTGCCTGATGATATCTGCACATAGTGGGCTCTTAAGGATGTTTTAGGGACCAGGGTGCGTGCCCAGGCGGGTCTTTGTCCCACTTGGCCTCTTGCCATTGTCCCCAGGAGACAAAATAGCATTTGAGTGCCAGACAACATTTCTCCTGCTTTCACTCTGCAAATATTCCCAGTCCCTGGAACTGACCATTCAACCAACTGTTGGGTAACAGCCGTTCTCTCTTGCTGTCCTCCCATCCAAGTGACACTGCAAATGTATTGTCTCTAGGTCACCATGGCATCTAACAGGCAAGAGTTCTGCAGGGGACTACAAGGTATTGAATGATGTCATCTGAATACCTTGTATTCTGTGCAAAGGTTTTGTTAGTAAAGTTTCATGGTGGGATGTACAGCACACCAGAAAAATGATGAAGAGTTGGAAATAGGCCAGACAAGACAATGTATGAGGAGTTTCCAAACTATTTGGCAAGTGGAAGTTTAGTGCAGGGATGGATTGGATCACTGATGTTTTACAAGAACACCAGGAACTCACCCTCACTTGTTGTAGACACCATACTCAGCTCTGAAATCCTCGCAGGAGAGAGGAGAATTGGGTGAACATGTCCTTGAGATTTCATTGCAGGTCCTGAAAAGTGAATAAATATATTATAGAGAGAGTTAGGAAAGGGAAAATGACTTTTTTTGGGCATTGGAAGTTTTTCATAAAAATGTTCAGATACTAATTTAAAAATTGACAATACATGTATATAGATGTGAAAGCAGTGGGCATATACCCAGCCAAGTAAATTTATAGCACATATGCTCCCAGTATATGTTTTTATTTATATACTCACTGCATGGTTATATAAAAATGGGAAGTAAAATGGATGAGAGGTTTTTAGAAAACTCTTGCATGTGGGCACCAGGAGACATATATTAGAATATCTGTAATATTCAAAGCTATTGTTGGAAAGCACTCCATGTCCTTCAACAATAGAATGAATGAGTCAATTGTGCCACAGTCATACCATGAAATCTAGCACAGTTACACGCAACAATGTGGGTGAATCTCAGCTCAAGAATGTTCAATGAACAAAGCAAACTGCAGAAGCATAATACCGTGTCAATGTAATTATATGAAGTTCAAAAAGTACATAAAACTAAATGACATCTTGCTTAGGGATTGAAGTTTATGTGGTAAACCTGTAAAAACATGGAAGGGACTGACCAGCACCACATTCCGGCTGATGAGTGCCTCAAAGAAGAAGGGAAGGGAAGGGAGGGGAGGGGCAAGTAATGGGAGAGAAGGGGAGGGGTTAGAGAGGGTCCACAGGGCCTGGTCAAGTTCTCGTTCTTAAACTGGGTGTGGGTGATAACTGGGTGTGCATTGTTAATATACCAATACATATTGAATAAAATTCTGCTATATCTACTCACTATTTGCAAAAATAAGATAAAAAAGAACAAGATAGAGTAAATGGTAAAAAAAAACAAAAAACCTCAAAACTCTAATACTTTTCCCCCCACACCTCAAGGGATTACCCTGAATATATATTCCTAGAGTCTTCAACTTTGGAGATCATTATAATATGATATGCTATGATATGATTTGATGTAATTAATATAATGTTTGTATTCTACTTTTATATTACTGCTATAACATATATAATTCATATATCTATAATTTATATATAATTACTAGAGGCCCAATGCACGAAATTCGTGCAAGAGTAGGCCTTCCTTCCCCCAGTTGCCAGCACCGGCTTCCCTCTGGCACCTGGGACCTGGGCTTCCTTTGCAGCCCCGGCTTCATCCAGAAGGTCGTCCGGAAGGACGTCCGGTCTAATTAGCATATTATGCTTTTATTATTATAGATATGAATAATCATATGTAAGTATTACATTATTTATATATAATGTCATCGTATATTTTGTAATATATTATTAGCATACTAGAGACCCGGTGCATGAATTCGTGCACAGGTGGGTCCAGTCGGCCCACCCCAATCGGGGCCCACTGGGCGGGCCAGTCAGGGGGAGGGGCGGCAGGCAGTTGGCCAGCCACCCCCACCCCTGGTTGAACCCCTGGTTGAACTCTCGGCCAAACTCCCAGTCTAGGGGACAATTTGCATATTAGCCTTTTATTATATAGGATAATATTTTTATTTTAAAGGATGAGGTTTTTCTCCTGAAAAGGCAGTGCCTGGAGATGAGAGCAGAGTGGGGGTGTAAGTGCAGCTTGGCATTAATGGCGGCATGAGAACCATGGCGCTTGCTCACCCAGTGAGGTGTTGCCCAGGACGAGAGGCGCTTCTGGGTGCTTCACTTTCAGCTCCAGGAGATCCTTGAGGGTCCCAGGGGAGATCCAGGTAACCCTTTCTCCACGAAAGGTCAGGGTTCTTTCTTCCTAGACCAGTGATGGCGAACCTATGACACGCGTGTCAGAGGTGACACGCGAACTCATTTTTTTGGTTGATTTTTCTTTGTTAAATGGCATTTAAATATATAAAATAAATATCAAAAATATAAGTCTTTGTTTTACTGTGGTTGCAAATATCAAAAAATTTCTATATGTGACACGGCACCAGAGTTAAGTTAGGGTTTTTCAAAATGCTGACACGCCGAGCTCAAAAGCTTCACCATCACTGCTCTAGGAGATTCCAGGAGTCCTGAGGTCCACTCGACTAAAAAGATACTCCCGACACCTGTTGGCTAATGCCTGAATTTCCATCACTAGAGATTTACTCCTTTAGCTTAACACTGTTTTCATGTAGCTCTTCAGAGACAAGTGACAATATGAACTGGCACCTGTCACTGACCCTTCAGTATAGAGTAATTTAACATAATTTAGTATCGTGGCCTTAAAAATCATAACTATTCTAATGCTCTTACGTTAATATATTCAGCCTGGACTTTTCCTCCAAAATCCAAACTCATGTATCTGAGGAGTACTCAATGTCTTCTCTTAGATGTGTAATAGGCATCTCAAATTCAACATGTTCACACCAAGATCCTCATATTCCATCCCCTTCCAAGGCCCAAAAGGAATCCCCCACAAAGAAAAAACGCTCTGCTCCTCAGGAGGTTTCCTTCCCCGTAAATGGCTGCTTCCCAGCTGCCCAAAGCCTCGTCTCCTCTCTCTGTCCCACACCCACAACACATCCACCAGCAAATCCTGTCTGCTCTTCTTCCAAAGTATCTCCAGACTCCACTTGCTGCTCACCACCTGCACCCTGGCAGCTGGTCCAGCACCCCCATCAGCACCTGACTGGGCTCCCTGCTTCTCTCCCCTAGCCCCTCCACAGGCTACTCCCACCCCAGCAGCCAGCATGACCTCACATCTAGTGACAACATTGATAGGAGATACCCCTCCTCTGTCCAGCCTCCCTGATAGCTTCTCATCTCATAGGGAGTAAAAGCCCTAAGTTGGGTATAGTCTGTACCCACTCCTTCCCTCCCCCTTCCCCCAGACACTCTGGTCCCTGCTCTGTCCCTTCATCAGGAGGGCATTCTCCCATCTTTCACACCTTTACACTTGCTGTCCCCACTGTTTGGTTTGCTCTTCCCCCATGTATCTTCGTGGCTGGTTCCTCCCTTCCTTTAGGACTTTCTTCAAATGTTGCCTCTCAGAGAAGTCTTCCATTCACTGAGTATTTAAAATTGCAACCCCTTGCATCCTATTTCTCTTTTCTGTTTTATTTTTCTTCCTTCTCACTTGTATCTCTTATCTTGCTAATTGTCTGTCTCTCCCACCAGATCACAAACTCCTCCAGGTCTTTGAGTAGTTTTGTTCCCTGCTGCATACTCAGTGCCTAGAGTAGTGCCTGGCACATGGCTGAATGGATAAATAGTTGTTCAATGCATGGATCAATACACCAGAATCCCTTCAGAATTAGGTATTTTGTAGAACTGCACCACTGGATGCCAAGAGGACAGATAGGGATGCTGCCAGAGGATGAGGAAAGGGTGTGGGTGGCTGAAAGTCCTCCTTAGGGTTAACGTACTGGAGTGGCCAAAAAGACCAAGTGAGAGGTTGAGCAAAGCTGTATGGCTTGGGCCCTGACCAGTTTTGCTCAGTGGGTAGAGCGTCGGCCTGCGGACTGAAGGGTCCTGGGTTCGGTTCTGGTCAGGGGCGTGTGCCTTGGTTTCGGGCACGTCCCCAGTGGGGAGTGTTCAGGAGGCAGCTGATCGATGTTTCTAGCTCTCTGTCCCTCTCCCTTCCTCTCTGTAGAGAGTCAATAGAATATATTAAAAAGAAAAAAAGCTGTATGGCTTGGGACAGTCAACAGGGACACATACGATGATGTCACTTAAAAAATAGCCTCAGCTGAGGCTTTGGGGAGTGTGTCCAGGGCAACAGCAGGGCTTGGTGAGCTGAGCAGGGACAAGCATGTTGATCTGATCAAACATTCCCATGATTGGACAAATTTCACAGGAAGAAAAGGGTAGTTTGAGCAACTGAGTTTATAACCACTGACATTTAAACAAGCACATAGAACACCCGGTTCATCTTACCAAGAGTTCTGGGGGGAATATGAGCTCCTGAGTAGGGTCCAAGGGCTGGAACTCGTCTTTCGCAAATAACTCTGTGGAAATCTTTATAAAGGGCAGAAAAAGAAGGCTCGGTCAGCCCAGCTCAACGGGAAACAGCACCCCAATGATTTACAGCAATCAGGCAAAATGAACTTAGTAATAACTTTCCTACCCTTCTTATACAGGGAAATGGTTCGGACCAATTTGTGTTAAGTAAGAATTTTATTGTAAGAGAGAGATATTGATTTGCCACTAGTAGGATACTGAAGAAAAGGATGTTCTGTGAGATACTTCAAACAGTACCCTGTGGAACATCAACAGAGTCTATGAAAAATTATCAGAGGTTAAGTAGTTTGGGATTCAAACCACTATCCTCTCACCTGTCAAGTCAGGATTCAAAATGCTAAAAGCTCCGAGAAGTCCTGTAGCTTAAGAAAAAATGACTCTATACCTACATGCCCCTGTGTAAACATACACGCACACCCCACTAATTTTAACAATAATAGTTAAAATTGTTGGAGTGCTTTTTTCCCAAGTGCCTTACATGTTAGTCATTTATTTAATCCTCCCAACAACTGTGCAAAGAAGGTAAATTATCATCTCCATTTTAACGATTAGGAAACAAAACCTCAACGAAAAGTTACCCAAACTGCAATCTTGTCTAAATAAAAAATGTTTTAGCTTTGGAAACAGTTATTCCAAGAAAACATTCCTGAGGAGGTGAGGGGAATTGGGGAAGCATTGTGGGTGCAGGGCTAGAGGTCTGAGTAATACGGTAGAGCATGGAGCGAAGTTGGGGGCAGACAGCGCTGGGTTCATCCTCAGCTCTGCCATGATGCCCACCCTCCCTCTGGAAAGGTTCTTCCTTTTAAAGGCTAAATGGAAATAATGCATATTTTGAAGGGTAATTGTGACACTTAGGTAAAATGGCCTGACATTTATCTCACACCGTCCATTTTTTTTTCTGTCTCTGAGGTCTTCTCAGGATCTAGAAAGAAAACATGCCGTTGTTCCTTGTAAATGTTCTGAGTAGGACCCAGATTGAAGCATTACAGGCCAGCATCTGAAGGATCAGTTTTTGTGTTAGTTGGGTTTAGAAGTGCAGGCAGTACGTAGGAGCAATGATGTGGTGTATCTCTAAAACCTAGAAATAAGACTGCATCTGAGAATTAAAGTGTAAAACAAACATAAGGAAGAATTAAAAGGTCCCCCTCACAGGTGCTGGGCCAAGACCTAACAGTTACTCAGTGGAACTCCCAGAGGCACAGCTCCCAGAGAAGAGCGGGTCTGTGCAGACGTCTGGTCTACCCTGGTGGAAGAGGGGGTCTTCTATAATGTGACCCTTATGATGATTCAACTGCTCTGCACCCCAGCTCACCAAGCAAGCCTCTCAAATTGTGGCTCCCTGTGTGTGCTTTCTGTAGGGAAGGGACATGGGGCTCAGTGGTCATAAGGTCTACTTCATATCTGTGTTTCTCTTTATAACGGAACATCAGGGCCCACCATGTTCTTTTCAGTTGGTTAAAGTAAGTCAGGTGGTTTCCAGAGCCCAGGTTGAATTCCCAAGGCCACCAGATGGAGAATCAGACTTTCGAATGTACTGATCCCCGCAAGGCACTAATTCTCTGTGAAATGCTCATGGGGTTGGGGGCGGGGTGCAGCCTTTTTCCTCTGCAACACCCTTCTGTTCATTGCACACCTTCTTCAGACCAAAATGCAGGGACAGTGGGAGGCCAAGAATGGGAATAAGGTAGGTTCGCGGGACTCAGTTTCCTCTGAGGCCGACTCTGTTCTCTTGGATTTCCTCATCTACAGGAGCCAACTCTAGCCTGTATTCCGGCTTCTCTAAATAATTCATTTAAGAACTTGGCAGTGAGTCTTTTTGGAAACCAGTATCTCTGAGAGAGCAAAACCAGGGACTGGGATACTCAGGCTGGCCTTCCAGCCCTGGGGCCATGACCTCACCATGACTCCGGATGGGCTCCTTCCCCTTCCCAGAGGCTGCAGTGCCCTCCATACAAAAAGGGGACACAGCGATAGAGGACCACTGCAAGTCAAAAACCAGGCACCGAGACCCACCTCCCCTTAGTGGGACTCATCATTGAGGTCATTGCTGGGGCAGGTCTGTCTTCTCTGGCCTGAGCGGGCTTTTGTTTAGTTTCAGGCTCCCCGAGAGCCAAGAGGATAGTCAGATCACAGACTTTGAATCACCCCCTAACCTGCCTCCCAAATGACAAGTGCTTTATCTGTGCAGGCACTTGGGACATTTGGAACAAAGCAGAGAATGAGCACCAGAACTAATGAGCACAGTGTCAACACTGGGCCGGCGTGGAGCAGTGCTCTCAGGGAGAGAACAAATCAAACACAGGGACTCACGTCGCTGCTCCTGCCGAGTGAGGAAGGATCCTCTTCTCCCTGAGCCAAGCAGCATTCTCCTGCTCCCTTCTGCTGACAGCCATTCGACTCCTAAGGAGGTGAAATGCCTTGAGATGAGAAACTTTCTTTTATAGGTAAATGGGCGTGTGCCTTGAGAGGTTTGGCAATTTAAATGAGACAACATTGTTCGTCACTTTTGGTGATTTCTATTGGAAAAGGCATCATCACAAGATCTTTCTTCTTTCTACTTTATTTTTAAAGTAAAATGATACATATGGAATATATAAAACTTATATGTAAGATATACAAAGTATCTAATCTATATACTTAAAAGCCTAAGTGACCGTCCAACCGTCTGACCATCCGACCAGTAGCTATGACACACAATGACCACCACGGGGCAGACACTTCAACCAGTAGCTATGACATGCACTGACCATCAGGGGGCAGACGCTCAATGCAGGAGCTGCTGAGCTGCGGTGACTTGGTAGCTGCGGTTCTCTGGTGATGCACCCGGAACCAGAGAGGAGGGAGCCCCATTCTGGGGTGCATCACCCGAGAACCACCTTCTCGCAATCTGGGACCCCTCAGGGGATGTGAGAGAGCTGGTTTTGGCCCCATCCCTGTAGGCCAGGCCGAGGGACCCCACTGGTGCATGAATCTGTGCACCGGGCCTCTAGTTATAGTATAAAACAATAATATAGACTATAGAGAAGCATAAAAGAAATAAACTATTATTACCCTATTTCACTGGCAATATTTTTACATAATATATAATGGTACTATATTTTAATATAACATACTTTTTATTTTGTCTTTTTGTTAATTTTTTGCCTATTGTTTTGTTTATTTACTTACCTATTTGTTCATTAGAGTAATTTTCCATGTCATTAAAATATAATTTTGCTGATTGCATAATAATCAATCTTCTGGATTTATACTTGTAAAATTTGCTATTGACATATACTTAGGTTTTGCCTACATTTTCTAATTATAAATAACATTATAATAAACATTTCTGTCTATTGCTTGTACAATTTTGTGTACATCTCTGAATTTTTTCTTAGATGAAATCCTAGTGCTAGAATTAGTTGGTAAGATGTCTTTCAGGGCAATAACTATCCATTCTCTAGCATATATAAGACTCAAACAACATTGAATGCTATCATTTATATAAGGACCTTAAAAAAAGAAAAGAAAAACATGAAGAAAGATGGGTGAAGAAAACCGCTTTGGTAACCAGACATTTGGGATCTGCATGGGGCTCATTGGGAATAAATGGACAGTCAATGGATTTTAAAGCAGGTTTCCATTTGCCAGCTCTTTATTTCCCATTTTCCCTTAACTCACCTCTTGTATCCTCTTCCTTAGATAATTTTCCCTAAGTATTTAAGGAAATACTTCCAGATACCCCAGTTCTCTGTCTCTGCTCAACTGTCTCAGGCTGCCAGCTTCCTGATTCTGTTCACGATGCTCCCTCATTTACTCAGGCCTCTGACAGCTCCCAGGAGGGGCCATGGGTCAATGATGACAGAACAAGTCAGTCTTCCTGGCCTATTAGCTAGGAACCTCAAGTAGCCCCACTAGGGCTCTGTTCCTTTCACCCCCCTTTTTTTTTTTAAAAAAAAAACACATTTTTTAATATAGTTATTTATTGATTTCAGAGAGGAAGGGAGAAGGAGAGAGAGATGGAAACATCAATGATGAGAGAGAATCATTGATCGGCTGCCTCCTGCACGCCCCCTACTGGGGATCGAGCCTGCAACCCAGGCGTGTGCCCTTGGCTGGAATCGAACCTGGGACCCCTCAGTCCGCAAGCTGATGCTTCATCCGCTGAGCCAAGTCGGCTAGGGCCCTTTCACCCCTTAAAGTTTCTGGGGCCTGCTGGCTGCAAGGTGGGTCTCTGACTACACTTTTGCCTTCATCCCCATAGGGAGAGAGGTTTCCTTTAACCTGCTTCACTGTATTTGTGTTTCACAAATGCTTTTCCATTTACACCAGCAGTTTGATGAGTTTACAAGCTATTGATTTTCTCAGCTTGTCATCTTTGGCTCTCCATGTGGCAAAAGTCTAGGACAGGTGTGCAAGGGGGACTGGCCTGGCTCTGGGGACTGGGACATACTGCCAGGCCCACAACTACTGTTTGTGGAGCTGCAGCAGCAAGAGAACAAACAGAGGCCCCTGCACCTTTCTCTGCCCAGCCTGGCTTGGTTCTGCAGCGAGGGGCCTCAAACACCGTGTGAGCACCCAGCCTGACTGTCCATGCTCTGTCTATTCTCTCCCAAAACACCAGTCATTGGCCATCCTTCAGCCTAGGTGCACACACTGGCTGCTATGATCTGCTCTAGGAAGATGGCCTTGGGAAGAGGCTGTGTCAGGCCTGGGAATAGGGTCAAGACCAAACCTGGATCATGGTTTAGAAAAGAGGTGAAGGCTTCAGGTGAACAAGTCACCTGGGACCCAGGGCTTCCTGAGAGTGGCTGAAGGAGGACCAGTGAGGGGCCCTTCAAAGTGTGGGGTCCTCCTTGCTTGGGTCGAAGGGTGGTACTGCCCACATCAATCCTGCCCTCAGGAGAGGGCCATCGGATGTGCCTGGCTGGTCTCCCCGTCAATCTCTATTCACAGTGGCAGCAATAACAGTAGTAACTATTTGTTGAGCTCTTTTAAGTGCCAAACAAGACTTTGCTACATGCTTGGCCATGATTTCTCACCTGATCTTCATAGCAGCCCAGGGAGGTATCCTCATTTTGTTGAGGAAGCTCCCTGTGCTTTTGTACCTGGGGTGAATTTTGGATTCTGCTCTGCATATTTGGCTTCTTTATTTGCTCACACTCTCAGCTGGTCTGGATTCTTGGACTAAAGCTGGCCTCCCTAAAGCCAACTCCATGCCCTTGCTTGTTGTCTCTTTGGGCTCGCTGCAGCCCTCCGACCTGTCCTGCTCTAATGCTTTGCTTAACTATCATGGGAGATGTCTGGTTAGATCACCTGGCTTCTCTCTGTGGTGTGACATGGGACATCAAAGGAGGAGTAAGGTTTACCTTGTCCTCAACAAATAGCTAAAACTCCCTTAGTCAGCTGGAGCTAACTCACTTTTCTCCCTTATAGTCTGTTTAGATGGTTTTAAAAAGTCAACTCCTAAATTCCCCGCCTTGACCAGCGGTCACTGTCATTCTTACTCTGTAAGGTGTCCCCATGGCCACTACTCACCATGCAGAAGGTCTTTCCACTCTCGAGAATTGGCCGGTACCCAGTGCAGCGGCACAGATTGCCTGATAAAATAAGGGGCGTGAGTATCAGTAGGCTTTTTTTTTTTTTACTGGTTTCTTTGGAAAGCTAAAACAGACCCATTCTTCTCTCCAGGGTGAACTGCAGCTACTTTAGATACAACCAAGGGGGTCCTCGAGTGGGGCTGGGGTGACATTGTGGATGGGGTGGAGCAGGTGGAGGCACACTTCCCACCTGGCTTTGGGGGTGGTGAGTATTCTCCATGTCAAACCTACCTCCCAGGGCTTCCATGAGCTGCTCCTCGGAGGGCTGCGGGTGGTTCCTGAGCAGTGTGTACATGGACATCACCATCCCAGGGGTACAGAATCCACACTGGGTGCCGTGGCTCTTGGCGATCCTCTCCTGCAATGACACATACATGGTCACAGGACCTGCCTTCCTGATGCCACCACCTCTCACCAGGCTCCACATCCTGCATCTCCCTTGAGGGGAAGAGCTCATTCCCTAAGCAGTGCACTCCTCCCCTCCATCAGAGGTGGCCAGTGTCCCCTCTCCTACTCTGCTCCAGGAAGAAGCGACTCAGAAGCCATTTGCTATCACTACAATCATTTCTCAAGCTCAAATGCCCAGATCTTTCTCATTGGGAATTAGCAGCATGCAGCCTTCCTTGCCAGAGTGAGAAGAATTTTCCCAGGCAGCACAGTCAATTCAGCATTAAAAAGATCAAGAAGTGAGAATGTTAACATATGCTCTTACCTGCACAGGGTGAAGCTTGGTTTTGATGCTTCCCACACCTTCCACAGTGGTGACAGCAGCTCCATAGAGAGAGCAGATGGGCACCAGGCATGCGGTGATGGAGAAGTGTCTTTGAATGAGAAATACAAGGAAAATCAAGGGGAATAACATGGACCTGCCTCCTGGGGAACCCTGGGACCAATAAGGGCAGCAGGAACCCCTTCCCCCCACCCCCAACCAGAGGCCTATCATTCAGCCTGGGAGACGGGGGACTGGACGGGGGACAGGTGGAAGAATTAGAGTCCCCTCTGCTGACTTGGTGCTATCTTCAAGAAGTGGGGATCCTCCAGGGAAAGATGGGCATTCTGAACTTCAGAAAACTTCCCAAGCCCAGAACAGACTACCTGGGTCTGGCCTCAATGGGAATGGACTTGTGTCACCAGGAGTAGTATTGGATCTCAATAGGTATTCCTTAGGACATTGACCCCATACCAGGCAAGAGGCACACCTGTGCCCTTTACCCATATTCATGAATTTATTTTGCTTGTTAATTTTAACTTCCCTGTATAAGGTCGCTCAACAATGTTGGATGGTTTTGTTCTGAAGGCATTTCTTGGGCCAGTAGATTTGGGAACAGCCAAAGTTCTGGAATCTAGTCCTTAATTTAAGGATGGAATTATGGCCCAGGTCCCTGCTCTGCAGGGTTGGTCCAGCCCAACAGTAGGAATGGCATTAGTGTCAGCCAAAACGGGTGGGTTCAAGTCCTGTGACTTACTAGTTGCATGACCTTAAACAAGTCACTACATATTGTTGAGCCTTAGTTTCCTCATCTGTAAGATGAGTGGTTGTCCTAAATTGGGGTTTCTTAACTTGGGATGCACACATGGGCCATGGGAAATCCATGATCTCCCTGAAAGTGTGTGCAGAATGTAATTAATGAATGCATTTTCCGAGAAGACAGTTCACAGCTGTTATCAGATTTTTGGAAGGGCCTGAGATCCAGAGACAGTGAAATCTCGAGGCTGGGAGGTCCGTGGAGTTCTTCCTTAGCTGCGAGATGAGACTAGAAGCCCGGCAAAGAAACAAACCCCCCCCCCCCAGCTCTGGGTTTCGGGGCAGGATACCTTATCTTCTTGGACACAGGGTCACACTTAGACACCATCACGGTACAGGCGCCGCAGCTCCCTCTGCCGCAGGCGTACTTGGTTCCTGTGAGACCTACTGGAGGGAGGTGGTCAAGGAAAAGATGCCCAGGTGGACCTGTGGCCGCCATGATAGCTGCCTCCCTAGGGTGTTGCTAGCAAGGAAAGACAGGGATGCACGTCTGAGAAGTCACTCGCCTCCAGGTCTCAGTAAGGACCACTCCGTACCGTGTCAGCTGTGGGACACATTCTATTAACCGCTCACTGCCTGCTTTCTCATTTGCAAAGAGGGGAAGTGATACCCACGTTACCTTCACCTGCTCACCATAAGCAGCTTGGAGGAGAGTGGATATAAAAGTGAAAGCCCTTTGAAAAAGTCTGTTTCATTATAAGTACTCTTCTGGGCTCTAATCACGTCACTGGGAGAGAACTTATTGTTAGCAGTTCAATGTATCACTAGTTTTGCCCAGTAGTTTGTATTGCATTTGAATGCCAGTGACTGAGCCTTTGGAGAAGACCCCTACCCTTATTTTCATAAACTACCTCGAGTGCCCTGCTCCTGCTTGGTCCAGGTTCAAGTCCAGGTCTAGACTCAGCCTCTGCTCCCTCTCTTTCGTCAGCCTTCTCCCTAATTGTGGCCCATTTCCACAAAATTTAGGGGATTGGATATACTTAACTACTGGCTAAGAAGAGTTTAGAGTCACTGACTTTTATTTTTTTAAAAGCCATACGGCTTATTCATTTAAACGGTCATAACCTTAAATGCTTTTAAGGGAGGTTGTGTGAACCAGTGGAGTGGGTCAGGTGTACCTGGAGAGCTCATGTCCCACTTTTCATAGGGGCCTGGGGCAGTCCCCACTCACCTCTAAGCCAGACTGTAGCCACACAGGAAAGACTAGCTTCCCATTTTTCATGAGAAGCTAAAAATCCTGTTTTTTTTATAACCATGGGATTTCCTAATTTTCAAACATTGACAACTAATTAAATCCATGTGAGCTTTTAACCAACACTAGTTTAGGGGCTGATTTCCTCAATTTGCAATTTCTGTCTTTTTTTTTTTTTTGGCTTCCCTGAGTGACCCATCAGACTTATCCATTAAAATATGTTTGCCATGATGATGGCCTAAATTTCAGAATATAAAATGGTGAGGGAAAATCGGCTGTAAGGAAACAGATGTAGATCTTTTTCTATGACACATGTTCTTCCTGAATCTGGGAAACTTGGTTTCTTTCCAGGGCAGGGTGCCTGAAACACAAGCCTCTATTACATAACCGCCCTCCCAGGACCGGAAGGCCCTTAAGGGAGTAATTAGTGCTGAAGTAAAGAGCTTAGCTTCTGTTTCACTGCTGTGAGATCAAGACATGAGAAATTCTGGGGAAACTTCATCCTCTGTAAATAGCCCAGTTAACTTAATATCCTTAAAACCATTGCCAAAGCAAAGAGAGAGCAAGGGCCAAGGGGCTGACTGTTTGGGGAAGGAGAGTTTGATTAGTTCTCATAATCACAGCAGGCCTGACTTTTAAGGCAAACACAGACACAGCCAAGACTTTGGTCAAAAGGGTCCAGTTCTTTCGTAGGAAGGTCAGCAGAGTGACTTCTGGGTCCGCATTTCTCTCTATCACCTGTGGTGAAACGAGAAAAGAGATTATTATGGGGACTGAATCAATGACCTAGTGGTCGGCAAACTCATTAGTCAACAGAGCCAAATATCAACAGTACAACGATTGAAATTTCTTTTGAGAGCCAAATTTTTTAAACTTAAACTATATAGGTAGGTACATTGTTAGTAACTTAATTAGGGTACTCCTAAGGCTTAGGAAGAGCCACACTCAAGGGGCCAAAGAGCCGCATGTGGCTTGTGAGCCGCAGTTTGCCGACCACGGATAGTGGAACGTCTGTCGTGGCCAGCTGGATTCAGCGATTGGGGTAAAATACTAGGCCTGGTTTCATCTGCCCCTGCTTTTTAGTGATCTGATGGCAAACGACCTTCACGTATATTTACAGAGCAGGAGACTCACCAAGCAAGTGTGGCGACTATGCTCTGTGAGGTGATGAGAGCTGGAACCGCTGCTGTGCAAGGGGCCCTGGGGCAGTGTTCTCTCTGTTTGATCCACTATCTGTTTTTGTGGAATTTTCCAACCAAGTCTTTTCTACTCTTGAAATATTTTAACCTGGGAGAGACTTGGATGCTGTGTATGTGCATGCATGTATGTTTATGTATGCATGCATGCGTGTGTATGTGTGTGTGTGTTTAATGAAGGATCCAGGAGGGAAGAAAGCTGGGTAGGAAGAGTTTCTATTCCGGTACCTCTGAGACACTTCTAGTGGGGAGTCCATGTAGTAACATCAGGGATCTTAAGAGTTGGTGGCAGGAAGGGGAGGCAGAGAGGGCTGCTGTCATCAGGAGAGGCCCTAGTGCATGCCAGTGTGGTGAGTGGTGATGGTGGAGTCTTGTTGCCCCAGCTCAGGACCCCAGGTGGCTTTGGTGGAACCCTAGCATCTCTCCCTCCCTCACCTTAAAAAGTGGGGGATTCATCCCTAAAAGCCATGGAGGAACCTTGTTTGGTGCTTCTCTCTCATTTGCTTATTTGAGGATATTTCCTTTGACTGTCCTGCAAACACCTCCAGCCATTCTCTTGCATCAGAGGAAAGACAGATTCAGCTAATCATGTTAGGATCTTCCATTCTCTCTGGAAGAAAAACATGACCTGGTGTAGACCTCCAGGAATAAAAATAGTACAGGAAGATGCTTCCAAGTGGAGATATTAAAATTCACCTGCTTTCTTGCCCTAGCTGGTTTGGCTCAGTGGACAGAGCGGTGGCCTGCGGACTGAAGGGTCAAGGGCACATACCTGGGTTGCGGGCCCGATTCCCAGTGGGGAGCATGCAGGAGGTGGCCGATCAATGATTCTCTCTCATCATTGATGTTTCTCTCTCTCCCTCCCTCTCTGAAATATATATAACTAAATTCACCTGCTTTCTGGAGCTCTAGCGGGCTCCTGGTCAACAAAAGAAGAAGCCTTCCTCTGCACTTTCTTCCCACCCCAGGTCCTTCAAAAACATCTACTGAGAACGCGGTTGGATAATGTTTTTATTATCTAGCTGACTCCAATCCCCACCACACACATCTGTATTTTCTCCAACTCTCAACTTACTCCCTGTTCTAGTTGCAGCCACTTCGTTTGGGGCTCATGACTCACAGAGGATGTGGAACAGAAAACAGAGGAAGGAGCCTCTGAAGTCTAGGGCAGTGGAACAAGCGAGTAAGGACTCAGCTCATAAGAGATAGTTTTGGAAGAATGTCTGGTGGTTGCTGGCTGGGGAGATTGGACACAGGATGGAGAGTTAGAAGGGAAATGATGAGAACGTAGAGGTTCTATGTTTTATCTCCTTTCTTGATCCAAGCCCTGGGGTGGGCAGTGGGTGAACATGGCCAAATCCCAATTAGGTTTATGGGACTAGAGAGCTGAGAGGTCCTAAAGGACAGGTGGTGAGACCCAAGAGAAGCCACCTGCCTCGAGTGGTGGCTTAATGGTCCCATTAAGGATAAGAGAGGGACTCAGGAGAGGAGGGGGCCTGGCAGAGGGCACTGAGAGTTGACTGTGTGGATGGATGGTGAGGACTGGAGGGAGGGATGCCAGGGAGACTGACAAAGGGAGACCCTCTCTCCTTGTCATATAGGTTCCTCCTGGAACATAGCCACAGCCCAGGGAAAGAAGGGACCCAATATGGACTGCAATTACATTTTACCCAGTTCTGTATAATGGTGACTCAACAGAAAAAATAAATTGATAAAGAGAAAAATAAAGGAAGTTCTGTTTCTCCTCCTGCGTTTGAGGATCAACATAGCCTACTAGATAAAGTGCTTCCAGTATATCAGGCTCAGTGCTCGGTGATTTACAAGTTTGAGGGGATTCCTAATCAGTGAAAGAAGCACCTCTCTTTTAATCTTGACAACCGCCACAGGAAGTGGGTTCTGAGAAGGGTACTCCGAGGCCCAGGGAGGAGAAGTAACTTGCGTAAGTTTATACAGTAAATGGCAGAGCTGGATTGGACCCAAGACTGATACCGAGGCACATGCAATTAACCCCAATGCTTTACTGTCGCCCACATCCCGGAGGCAGAGCCATGACTAAATGGGGAACAGGCCAAATTAGTATGGGTTCCAGTCCCTGGCTTCTTCTCCCTTTCTGGAGGAGTCTAAACCCAAATGGGCCACAAAGGCTCCCCTCCAGCTAGTAGTTTCCTGTGGTCTCAAGCACTGGTTGTAACACCCAACACTTACCTTCCTCCCGTTCACAAAGAAAACCAACTCATCGGATTGCGGCAGGCCAAGCATCACACCTGTAAACAGGTTTCACCTTACAATTCTAGGTGGGTATGCTCTTTGGCACCAGCCACGGGACTGAGCACAAAGGATTCAGGTCCAAGCACTGAAATCCTTCCTTGTGTGGAAGTTGGCAGTTGGAGTCAAGAGAGCAGGCTCCTTGGCCTCATGGCCTTTTAAGTCTAGAGCACCTGTGTGGTCCCGCCTCTTACCTTGTGCTTCACTCTGCCTCCCACCAATCCTGGCTTCAAAGCTTGCTCTGTGCATGGCCCACACCTCTTCTTGCTTACTCTGAGGTTGGAGGGCCTCAGTGTGAAAACCATACACAACCATTTAAGCTTAAACCCACTTTGTACACTGCCTCAGCCCCTGGATGGGTTCCTTCTTCTCAAAGAGAGAGAAGTGGACCTCCCACTTTTCCCAACTCTGATCTCATTCTAATTGCAGAAATGTCTCCTTGTAGGAAGTCATATGGACAATTCCAGTCTGTGCCCTAAAGTGGAGTGTGGGGTGCTGCATTCACCCAGCCCCTCTTTACCCTTCCTACTTCCTCCCCAGCCACAGGATTGGTCCACTGGAAAATAGTGATGTAGTCAAGGCAACCACTTTACAGATAAGTAAACAGAGGCTCAGATAGGTAAGACCAGTAGCTCTGGACCATGCAGAACATAAGTGGCAAAGTGGGAACTATAACCAAGGTCTCCTGGATTTAAATACCTGTGGGCTTATAGACAGATTCCTTTCTTGATCAACAGAACAATGTCATTTTGATCTTTCTGAGTATCTCCAGTTAGATGTCTGGAGCTAAAATCAAGCAATTCTTATTCTTTCAACAGAAGCAATGCCCAGGACTTGGCCTCACATGTGGGTGATGCAGGTAGCTGCTCAAGTGGTCTAGTTTCAGGAGAGGAGGCAAGACCTCTCTGTCCCCCAGCCCACTTCCTTCATGAGTGTGTGGAGCCCTGGCATGCCATTGTTAGAGTCAACCCTTTGTCTTAGGCGAACTCACTGTGACAGTGCCTCAGGCCAGAGACAACAAATACCTGGCATCCTCTTGACCTGGCTAACTAAGGAAGACCCTCCTTCCCACTTGGTCGAGATGTGGCTTCAGAATCCTTCCCACCGCAGAGCTAGTCCAGAAACATCCCTAACCAAATGCACTTGGAAGCTGCCAACTTTCTTTATCATTCAATGTCTAGGTCCAAGGCCTTCCCATCTTCGTGCACCTGTGGAGATGAGTGTTTACACACATGTGCACGTGTTTGTGTGTGCGTGTGTGGGTGTTTCATATGTGTTATACAGTTGCTGAATAAATCCACAACAGGGTTATGAGAGAAGTTGGAGGTGACAATGTGAATAAGGTAGGGCCGCAGGTCAGATTTTTTGATCATGCTACTTCTGCTACAAATAGCTCAGTACCTCTCTGAGGCCTAGAACATGAGGACCAAATTCCTAGGCCCAGTGTGCAAAGCCCTCCAAGACCTGTCCCTATTGCTGGCCTCAGGCTCTTTTGCTCTTCAAAAACTACTACTCTTCTCATCATTCTTCTGCCTCAACCATTCTTCTACTTGAAACCTTCCACTGGCCTCCCAACACACCTAACAAAACCCCTTAAGCTCTCCATGGAGGCCCCTCGGGACGGGCCCCACTCCCTTCTCTGAGCACATCTTCAACCGCTGTCTCTCTTGTTCATAATCTCAGTCACACTGGCCCTTTCTCTGTTTCCTGAATGTGCTCATTTCTCTCCTGTCCCAAGGCCTTGGTGCAAGTTATATTTTCTGCCTTGACTTCTGTTTTCTCAGACTTTGGCGTGGCTGGTGCCTTCTTGTTATTTGGGTCTGAGCCCTTCCTTGATCTTCCAGTCTGAAGTCTCACTCCGTCCTGCTCTCTTCTACCACCCACTTCATTTTCTCCAGAGCTCTCATCACTACCTGACCTGGAGTTTTGTCCACCTCATTTGCCTTTTCTGCTAGAATGTGAGCGCCACAGGGGCAGGGGCGTCACTGTATCCCTGGGCCTAGAATGGTGCCGACCACAGAGCAAATGCCCAATAAGTATTGGTTGAGTGTCTGAGAGGCTCTTCCGTGTCTGCAAAGATAACAGCCCTGCTCCTGTCCTGCTGTGGTTGCCTTCCCCCCGTCCTCCCTCCCTTTTAACCTACCACCAAAAGCAGCAGCAAACCTCCCTTCTACCCTTTTGTCAATTCCAAAAACACTTGCAGATCCAAACAATCACTTCTTTACTCTTCATTTAATAAACCAGGAACCAGGAAACCAGTCTCTTATCTGCCACTAATAGTTGGTTATCTTTTCAATGTTTGTGTCTCATTTCCCCAATTGAGTAATATGCTTCTGGAGGTTAGAAGAGCTACTTGTATCCCCCACAATGGCCGGCAGGAATGACAGCTTGCTCTTTGCAGGAGTTAATAAATGCTTGGCTGATTATCTAAAATTACTTTAAATGAAGAAGGCATCGTTCATTCACTCATTCATTTACCCAGTAGATACTGAGCATCCAGCTTGTGCAGTATGCTAAGTGGTAGAGGCACAGTGAAAAACAAGATCAACAAGTGTTCTTCCTCCAAGGAGTTGATGGTTAATAAGAGAGAGAAAATTAA